GTGGCATGGGGGGGGGGGGGGGACCGGGCAGGAAGAAGAGGGCCCGGTAACCACCGAGGTGCCAACATTGCTTCCTTCGGGAGCCCTTAGGTTTCTAGTTATGCCTCTGGTCGCAGGCACTCATCAGAAATCTGTCTCATGGTACAGCAACAAATGGTGCAACGTGTGACAGATTTGTGCACGTGTCAGTAAAGTGGATATGAATCTTTCACAAGTCCAACACAACTGCCACACAATGTACTGCAGAGTGGAAGAAGTCTTATTCACCTACACTTTCCTGATCAGCTTAGTCTTAGTGAATGTGTCCCAACATTAAAGAAGAATTATGGGGTGAGTGAAATACACTCATCCCCATAATTCAAGCCGACCTGTGACACTGAAACTGTCACACGTCAGCTCTATTGATTGGGAAGTCAGCGAACACATACCGCTGATTGCTCACTTCCCGATCCTCTACCTGCAGAAGCGGTGACTGTCAGTCACCTCTCCCCACAGGGATTACCCCCTCCCCTCTCCGTTATCCCAGGTCTGACTGGAGGAACGGACAGGGCAGGGGGCGGGCACAGCTGCCTCTGCCTCTAGAGGGGAAGTGGCAGCTGTCAATCAGCCAGCGAAGTGGATCCCTGCAATATTGTCGGGATCCATCCCGGCTGCGGCGTGGCTCTGTGCTGTCAGCATATAGCAGGCAACATGCTGAGTTTTGGGTCACAGGAGGACATAGTATATGTCAGGGGTGCCCATTAGGTAGATCGTGATCTAGCAGTAGCTCTCAAAGCTAATGCTGGTAGATCCCGAAGGGTGTGAATGGTGTCCCCTTTATTCCATTTTGGTATATTTATTTAGCTGTGCACACATGATTACCTATTAGCCTGAGTCTGCTGAGCCAAGCTCCCTGACACCTTTCTGGTGGATACTGGAGGTTGAAGTGCTATGTATTACATCAAATCATTCAACATTACTTTACACAGCCTGTTCCACTACACTGTTTGCAAAATACAGCAAGGTGAGCCAGGAAGCAGCCAGGGGAGAGACAGCCAGTGAAGAGAGCGCGAGGAGCGACAGCCAGGGGAGAGACAGCCAGGGGAGAGAGCACGAGGAGAGACAGCCAGAGGAGAGAGCGAGAGGAGAGACAGCCAGGGGAGAGAGCGCGAGGAGAGACAGCAAGGAGAGACAGCCAGGAGAGAAAACGAGGAATGACAGTCAGGAGGATAAGCAAGGTGAGCCAGGAGACAGCCAGGGGAGAGACAACCAGGGGAGAGACAGCCAGAGGAGAAAGCACGAGGGGCGACAGCCAGGGAAGAGAGCGTGAGGAGCGACAGCCAGGGGAGAGAGGGGGCGAGGAGAGACAGCCAGGGGAGAAAGCGCAAGAGAGACAGCCAGGAGAGCGAAGAGAGACAGCCAGGAGAGAGAGCGAGGGAGGTTTTTTTTTGATTGGTAGATCTCATGTAGCTCGTCATTTGAAAAGTAGATCTTAACACAAAAATTGTGGGCATACCGGGTATATGTCCTCCTGTGATCCTTAAGAAAAGTATGAGCAAAAAAGGTTGGCCCATAGTGCTCCTGTAACCACAGATAGTTAAAGTGTCCCAAATTAGAACTTCTTTTATTTTTATTAAACACATTTCACTTGTATATCCAGTTCCATGGAGATCGCTTCCGACTACATCCACACTGCCAGAAATGCATCACAAATGCCCTATTGAATCTCCCCGGTATCTGACTGAAATAATTTGAAGCCACAGCCAGGACTTTGTTGGATCACTTTGTATGCTTACCATGAAAAATGTGAAATGATACCGCTCAGATCTGCAAGATAATAGTTCAAATCTAATAGATTTATATACACGTATAGCTTCTGATTACTGATCTAGCATTGAGCTGAGCAGAATGACACCTCTGTCTGATCCCCTGTCATCACCATCATTATCTATATATTCACACTGTATGGGCTCTCCTATGTACTGGGAAGACAGGTGGAGGTGCCAGCAGTGGGGAGGGGAGGGGCTTTGCTTGCAGTAGGTGGGGCCTCACTGACAGGTAAGCTGCGATCGCAGCGGCCGGCAGGTTTGGCAGGGATGAAGTCCTGCAGAGCCGGTAATACACAATAGGAGGGAGGAGGAGGAGGCGGCTACAGGGCAGACAGGAAGAGCCCCGGAGAGATCGACCAGATCTATTGACTGTCTCCCCTGGATCGCCCTGGAATCGTTCAGATAATCTGTAGGAAGGTGTGTGCCAATGTAGGTGATCGCTGTGCCAGTCTAGTCCCTGGATCTGTCAGACTACAGCAGGTACAGTAATACGTCTATGATCAGATTCATATGTTCTGATCGGATGGGAGGAAAGTCAGCTTACTTGTTGGGCTCTGTTATTGCTTACCTGTGTTACTGCTCTTCCTGGCTGCAGAAGCTCATGTTAAAGGAACAGTCCACCCAAAAGTGATCTTGAAGTTATAGGTGAAGCATGGTGGGGTGCGTCAGGCTTTGCCTTCCTATATGTCTTGGGTGTTGCACCAGTGAGATCTGTATGCCATAGTTCCTGACTCTATTCCTGTCCAGCTGGACGTTTTGGGTGTTCTGCTCACCTTTGCATGTTCTAGCTCTTCTTTTTGCATTCCTTATAAAATAAAAGATCATACTTGAAGAGCGGCATTATAATGGCCATAGTCGGTGTGCAGAGCTGGGAACCCAAAAACAGAGATCTCACCAATAGAGGAGACCACAGATGAGGAATTGTCAAGCTGATTGAACTTTTAAAGAACAACTACAACCCCCCCCCCGCCCAGCACCAATTACATTTTTTAAATCCCCTCTTATCTAATGCTTGGTGGTCTACAATTCACACACACTCGCCTTCCCAGCAAAATCCAGCATTGTCCTGCTATGAGCCACATTCTGCTTTCACGCATCGGATCTTCTGTGAGGTCATCAGGAGCTGGCTGTCTCTTCCCGGTTCAGGGAGTGGTCCTGATGATGCACTACCAGACCTGGCCTATTTATTTCACCTGTTGCTATTGTGCAGGTATGTTTCCTGCAGCACTTTGCACTGCTCAATCAGTTCCTGCCTCATAGGAGCTTACAATCTAATGTACTCATCAAAGCCAGGCTCCAGGTAAGGCCAGTGTTAGAGGAAGCCAGCGAATGGTGGTCACAATATCGATGAAGGGAATCAGCAGCACTCACAGGATGAATGCTGGACATAGCGGTCACTATGTCGTCCTGAGGAAGGGACCCTACATGGCCCCAAAATGTTGGTTTTGATCGATGCATGTGATGCGTGTCCAATAAAAATGAACAAGAGATGTGTATCCTGTGAGTGCTGGTGATTCTTTTTATCCATATGGTGAAGACACACGGCGCCATCCTTGTCATCACTTCGAGCACCGCTATTTTGAAAGAGAAAGGTCTACAGCCCCGTATGGAGTGCAGGTGGCACATCATATCAGCTAATGGTGGTCATATGTATACGTATATGAGTGTTCAGCCAATCCTTCAATCCAACTAAACTGATCCAATTCATTATTTTTTAATAATTATTATTATTAGTAATACTTCTCCTACAAACCTATTTTGTAAGCTGTTGCCAAATTCAAAATCTGTCAAGTCAATCGGTTGTGGTGGAATTTTTCCATTCACTCCTAATGAAACAAACTAAGTTTGTAATACAGATCCATGAAATGTTAATTTTTAATGGGTCTTTAAGATTTATGACTAAATGATCAGCTGTTTGATTGATATTTTCAATTGATGTAAAGCATTGAACAATACAAAGAGGGAAATTTACTAAGACTGTAAAAGACGGAATCTGGAGCAGCTGTGGATGGCAACCAATCGGCGTCTAGCTTTCATTTACAAAGCCTATTGAACAAGCTGAAAATAGAAGCTGATTAGTTCCTATGCAAAGCGGCTCCAGATTGTGTCTGCTCCAGTTTTAGTAAACCCTCCCTCCCCTTTTGTGCTGCCACAATATTTATTTTAATCAGTAATTTACTTGTTTCTGATTGTTTGTACCTAGAGTGATCACAAATCATTATGTGTACGGCCACCATAATTTACCAAATTCACCTCCTCTATGGCGCTGTCCCCTGCAGTAGTTCTGATTCACCACTAGATATCCTTGGTCATTTGAGTTGATTGACCCCCATAGTCTTTCAACCCAGAAAACTGAGGAAGGCACCTTGTGCTCGGCGTAATGATGTAGAGAGCAACGCTGACGCCATCAGCGCTGCTCCATCAGCGCTGCTCTCTACGTCATTGAGGAACGCTCCCTACCGGGAGAGGCATGGAGGAAGAGGACCACACTTGCCATGTGACTGGCCAGAAGACATCTGAAAAAAGTAAATATAAAACCATAAATTTGATTCTCAGGGTGGAGTGTGGAATCTGGCTTTAAGGTCATATTCTTTTACAGTGCCTAACATAGAATCACACCAAAGCATATCAGCCTTCTACTTAGTAATGAATGGTTTAGCAGCCAGCAAGTAACTTCTAGTCCTCTTTATACAGGTTAATCCCAAGAGGGCCAGGAAACAGGTTGTAAAGTAATAGGTAGGGAGAGGTCGGTACAGTCTGGGATTATATTATTGATGTTAAGTCTTCTGCATTATTGTAGCAGGTAGGCTTTGAAGTGTGCTTGTGTTTTGTATAGCGTAGTTTGGGAAGCATCCTGAGTTTATACAACTGGAAAAGGCAGCGGGTGTGTCATCTTGAGTTTATATGACATGCAAATGTGTTTTATGAAAATGGCGTGCATTATTATATAAACTTTATACACACGTCCATTAGCTGTATGTCAAGTATACACTGATACAGGTTTATTGAGGGCTCATTCATATCTGCTGGTGTGCATTGTTTAGGGCAGTGCTTTGTGTTGTTACAACGTAAGGGGCAGTTTACTTTTTTTTTTTCACTTTACTAATGTGTCACAAAATGGTCTGCGTGGAAAAATGCTGTGCGGTCAGTTGTAATGCATTAGGATGAAGCATGCCTGCATTTGTACGCAACCCACCTCAACGCAGAATCGTGATGTAAACGGGCCACATAGAAAACAAAAGTGTTTTTCAGCATGTATTCGTTATTCTACACGCACGAGCGGACAGCTGCAGCCAGGTACATAAGACATCGCCCGAAAATAAGACCTAGTGTCTTTTTCTGTGGAAAAAAATAATAAATCACTGTCTTATTTTCGGGGAAACACGGTATTTGCTTTTTCCAGCCAGCAAGTTGAGCTCTAGACACCTTTTTAACACGTTTATTTACTGGACTAATCTTAATTACATAGTTAGTCAGGTTGAAAAAAGACACATGTCCATCGAGTTCAACCTAACCAACATTTATTTACTGGACTAATCTTAATTGCTCTGCTGGAAAAGTCTGTTGCTAACAGAACTGAGTATCTGAAATGGAAACCTATCCTGAGGGGTACAGTGATTAGCTAATCTGCAAATGCAAGTTCCCTGGATGTCCTGCTGGCCTTCTTGTTTTAAGACTTTAGACACTGACCCTGAAAAAGCACAGTATGCTGATAAGGACTACTGACTTTTTTTCTGACTTTCCTGCTCTGCGTACAGTACATGGTCTAAGTAGTGGCTCATAAAGTTTTGAAGCAGGTGGGTTTACCTTATAGGCAGGGGACATATCTCAGTCTGTTCTTCCAGTGTATTGCTCTTTATGGAATGTCAACTAGAGAGGGACTGACAGGTAGAAGCTTCTGCTGTGGTTATTCTTTATGTAGTGGAATGGGTGTAAACATACATTTTATAGAGTCCTTGGGTAGCCATCACACTCTATTTGTAAGGTAACTACCCTGGTGTTCATCTTCAAAAACATACCTACAAATCCAAAGTGGAAAAGGCCAGGAAACGTGCATTTCGAGTGTTTTTGTGCGTTTTGTCACACAAAGTTTCCTATTGAAGTCTATAGGACCAAAAAATGCTGTGATCTGCCAAAAAGTAGCTTGTACTTTTTCCAGCAACAGCCATTTCCTTGTCTTGAGCGTTTTGTTGCTCTTAGCTTTGAGAGACAAAATGCCTGGATGTGAACGGGAGCTAAAACTAAAACCACTGGCATCTTCTCTTTCATTTTGGTTCTTCTGGATCCAGTGTCTTCTCTCTTTGGCCATTGGGTGGCCACTGATGATGTAATTCCTGCGCATGAACACAGGAGTCTCATCATTCCGGCTCCCCAGCTCCGTCACTCCGGCTCCGTCACTCCGGCTCCCCAGCTCCGTCACTCCGGCTCCCCAGCTCCTTCACTCCGGCTCCCCAGCTCCTTCATTCTGGCTCCCCAGCTCCTTCATTCCGGCTCCCCAGCTCCTTCATTCCGGCTCCCCAGCTCCTTCATTCCGGCTCCCCAGCTCCGTCATTCCGGCTCCCCAGCTCCGTCATTCCGGCTCCCCAGCTCCTTCATTCCGGCTCCCCAGCTCCGTCATTCCAGCTCCTCAGCTACATCATCTCGGCCCCCAGCTCCATGATCCTGACCCCCAGCTCCATTCATGACAAGATCCATATGGAAGGGATAGGAAGGGAGGGGAGACAGAACTATCAAAAAAAAACAATTGCTAGGATCAAGGGGAAATAATTTATTGGCAGAAGATGCACGCGGTCTCTTCTGCCAAAATTCTCTGCCTCCTAGCAATTCTTTTTTCTTTTATTTCAACTTTTAGCCTATGCGAACTCTCACTCAGCTGCACGTGTCATAGTTATATGTTTCTTTTCAGAACAATGTCTACCAGCAAACTGTAAATGCATTTTTGCGGGTTAAAACGCGCACGCAGCCTGCGCGTGTGCGTGTTGGGCTTCGTAAATCAGCCCCTTTGTGTCAGATGAATGATCCAGCCCTTCATATCCTATCTGTGCCTCGTGTTAGCCAAACACCGCTCTGTGTACAGTCCTCACTCACTTTTCACATAAAGATCTGTGTACGTTGTGGTCATGCTTACTGGAGCAGTTTACTAAAAAAAACATTTTTCACTCCCCTCCTTCTTCTGAATGGTGACAGAGGCAAGTCATGTCACGCGCTTATGTGGAAATGTGTTCTAAACCTGCTGCAAATATTGTCATATGCTGTACGTGGAAAAATAACAGAAGCAGTAAGCAGGAATAGGCTTCACTTATCACAGTGTTAGAAGGATTTTCTGTGTTGCTCATCGCAGCCAATCAGATGATTTATTTTATGATGCCTGTGCAGGGTAAAAGATTAAAGGTGGTATCTAATTCGCTGCCATGGGTGTCCCATTCAGATGCTTTGGTCATTGCAAATTTTTGGCAGTTCGGTGTGCATACTATAGGGTA